GTATAAATTCCTTGTGGATTTTGATCCTTATTTGCTGCTCTTACAGACAAAAATATTTCCTGTGGCTTTCTCAGAAAGTTAAATGCTGTTTTCAGAGATTTGGAGAAGTGTTCTTCTATTTAGAGAACGTAAGACAAACCTGAAAATCTTCTTTAAACTATGGATTTCTGATGTATGGCCCTGGAATCTGTACTTCTCACATACTGGAGAGGATTCTGATGCTATTACCAGGTCACACTTCGAGAAACACTGGCCCAGAGGAATGGATTCCTTACAACTGAATTCTGCATATGTGTTGGTCCTCTTTTCTATGACTACACACATATTAGAATGGCCAAAATCCAGAACACCGACAACACCAAAGTCTAGCAGGGATGTGGAGCAACAGGAATCCTCATTCATTACTGGTGGGAATACAAAATGGTGCAGCCACTTGGGAGTATATTTTGGGACTTTATCAAACACTAAACACACTCTACGATGTTATCCATCAATCTTGCTGGTAGATATTTCACCCAAACAAGTTGAAAACTTGGGTCCACCCAAAAATCTGTACCCAGATGTTTATAGCAGCTTCATTTATAATTGCCAAACTTGGAAACAACCAAGATGTCCTCCAGGTGAATGGTTAGATAAACTGTGGTCATCCAGACAATGAAAAAAAATGAACACTAAAAAGCGATGAGCCCTGGCCAGTGTTGCTCAGTGTCTTGCACGGAAGGGTTGCAGGTTCGATCCCCGGCCCTGGGCACATGTGGGAGGCAATCAATCCATCTGTCTCACATAGATAGTTTCTCTCTCTCTCTCTCTCTCTCTCTCTCTCTCTCTCTCTCTCTCTCTCTCCCTCCCTCCCTCCCTCCCTCCCTCCCTCCCTCCCTCTTCTCTTTTTCTCTAAAATAAAATATTTTTTAAAAAGGGGTGAACCAATATTTTTCAAATGACTAGTACATGATGTTACAAAATCATACATGGGTAAAAGAATCATTCAAAGTGAAGACCAATGGATTTTAATGTAACAGCATGAAAAGTACATTGATATGGATCCAAAATCCACATTGCAACTAATGTTGTTTCTTAAAAAAATATTTTTATTGCCGAAACCGGTTTGGCTCAGTGGATAGAGCGTCGGCCTGCGGACTGAAAGGTCCCAGGTTCGATTCCGGTCAAGGGCATGTACCTGGGTTGCAGGCATATCCCCAGTAGGAGATGTGCAGGAGGCAGCTGATCGATGTTTCTCTCTCATCGATGTTTCTAACTCTCTGTCTCTCTCCCTTCCTCTCTGTAAAAAATCAATAAAATATATTTTAAAAAAATAAAAATAAATATTTTTATTGATTTCAGAGAGGAAGGGAGAGGGAGAGATAGAAACATCAATGATGAGATAGAATCATTGATTGGCAGCCTCGTGCACGCCCTACACTGGGGATCAAGCCCACAATCTGGGCATGTGCCCTCTACCGGAATTGAACCTGGAACCCTTCGGTCCGCAGACCGACGCTCTATCCACTGAACCAAACCAGCTAGGGTACAACTAATCTTTTTTTTTTTTTTTAATATATTTTATTGATTTTTTACAGAGAGGAAGGGAGAGGGATAGGGAGTTAGAAACATCGATGAGAGAGAAACACCGGTCAGCTGCCTCCTGCACACTCCCCACTGGGGATGTGCCCGCAACCAAGGTACATGCCCTTGACCGGAATCGAACCTGGGACCCTTGAGTCTGCAGGCCGACGCTCTATCCACTGAGCCAAACTGGTTAGGGCTACAACTAATCTTTAAGAAACTACCACTTGTTGAATTTTGGTGACCAACCAAGAAGACTGTCCACAATTATCTGAAAAGGTTAGAATAATCCTCCCTTTTCCAACTACATATGTATATGAGCCTGCATTTTTTTTTTAACACATTTGCGGGAATGTGAAGCAATACTAGTCTTCTCACTAAATTATGTTTTGCTATAGTTCCCTTTCATAGATATTATGAGACTTATTTAAACATGTAATGAGTTTCTTATTGCAACTTTAAATAAATTATTAGGTACATTTAAATGTGTGTGTTTGGGGGGGGGCTGACCATGTAGCTCAGTTAGTTAGAACATCATCCCAATCCACCAAGGTTGTGGGTTCAATCTCTAGTCAGGGCACATACAAGAATTAACCAATTAATGCATAAATAATTGGAACAACAAATCAATCTCTCCCTCCCCACTTCCTTCATCCAAAATTCAGTAAAATTAAAAATAAATTGTAATGAGCTATTCAGCCCAGCTGGCATTGCTCAGTGATTGAGCATTGACATATGAACCAGGAGGTTATGTTCGATTCCTGGTGAGAGCACATCCTGGGTTGTGGGCTCCATCCCCAGTGTGGGGCATGCAGGAGGCAGCTGATCAATGATTCATCATTGGTGTTTCTATCCCTTTCCCTTCCTCTCTGAAATCAATAAAAATGTATTTTAAAAAAATAAGGTAGAAGGAAAATGATCAATAATAATAATTTTATGGTGCCAGAATATTTTCCAAAGACTAATGAACTCATTTAACATGCACAATAAGTTTACAAAGTAGGTATTATTCCCATATTATACATGATGAAACTCAGGTACAAATCTACCATGTAAAATGCTGTTGAATGATTTGAGGTTTGACTGTTGTATCTGGTAAAGTGGAGGCTGTTGCCCACTGTAATGAGAGAGGTTTCAAAGAAATGGAATGTGGGGATAGATATCTAATTAGTGGGGCTTAAGGAGAAATCTAGAGATGAGCAATTTGAGACAGAAAATATTGATAACTCTTTTCTTTTGTAAAGAAATAGTAGATAAAGTGCCGAAACCGGTTTGGCTCAGTGGATGTAGTGTCGGCCTGCGGACTGGAGGGTCCCGGGTTCGATTCCGGTCAGGGGCGTGTGCCTGGGTTGCGGGCACATCCCCAGTAGGAGATGTGCAGGAGGCGGCTGATCGATGTTTCTCTCTCATCGATGTTTCTAACTCTCTGTCTCTCTCCCTTCCTCTCTGTAAAAAATCAATAAAATATATTTAAAAAAAAAAAAGAAATAGTAGATAAAGTACATGTGGTCTAGGAAGGTTCCCCCCCCTTTTTTTTAAAAATATATTTTATTGATTTTTTACAGAGAGGAAGGGAGAGAGACAGAGAGTTAGAAACATCGATGAGAGAGAAACATCGATCAGCTACCTCCTGCACATCTCCCACTGGGGATGTGCCCGCAACCCAGGCACATGCCCTTGACCGGAATCGAACCTGGGACCCTTCAGTCCGCAGGCCGACGCTCCATCCACTGAGCCAAACCAGTTTAGGCGTAAACCTATAGAGAATTTTTGTGAGTTTATCTTAGCCAAACTGTCAATAATTGCCGGGCAGCAAAATCTCAACAGATTGAGATAATGTTCTGGAGCAGCAGTCACCAACCTTTCGGACCTCATGGACCACCAGTTGGTGACTGCTGCTCTGGAGAATGGCAGTTTTGTATCTTATTTTATACATTACAATCAAAAGAGGAGATCCATTTGGGTTACATGAAATCCATTGGCGATAGATTAGAGAGGTGGGAAAAAGCAAAATAGGGCAACTTCTGGGATTGGATCAAAAGTAAAACGAAGACACATACTTCTTTTTTATAGGTGGGTATAGGATAGTTAACAGTCAATGATTAACTCAATAACAATGAGAGGATTTGTGATTTTCGCAAAGTGGTGCCTGTGCTTTGAGGGGTCAGAACAAGGATAATTACTTTGACCTTCCAAAGATGCAAAAAGACAGCCCTAGCTCGTTTGGCTCAGTGGATAGAGTGTCAGACTGTAGGCTGAAGGGTCCCGGGTTTGATTCCAGTCAAGGGCACATGCCTGGTTGCGGGCTTGAACCCTGGTAGGGGGCATGCAGGAGGCAGCCCATTGATAATTCTCTCTCATCATTGATGTTTCTCTCTCTCTCTTCCTTCCTCTCTGAAATCAATAAAAATATGTATTTTTTTAAAAAGTAAAATCTACCATGATTTTACAAAAAACCCAAAGATGCAAAAAGACAATAGACAGGCTCAGTTAGGTAAGGATTGAGCTTTGTCATGGAGCTGCCAGCCTAGGACATGACCAACTATCATAAACTGCTTTTAGTTAAAAATTTTTAATTTTAGGCTATCTTTTGTGGTTATTTTTGGTCTTTAAGTTTGTAAGGGTGCCATGCAACTCTTGACATGAGCTTGTCAGGTTTAATATGTGGCCCTTTTAGTCCACAATATTTACCATTGACGTGTACAACCAAGAATCCCTGTTGCAGGGGTCCTCAAACTACAGCCCGCGGGCCACATGCAAATACAAATATTGTATTTGTTCCTGTTTTGTTTTTTTACTTCAAAATAAGATATGTGCAGTGTGCATAGGAATTTGTTCATAGTATTTTTTTAAAACTATAGTCCAGCCCTGCAACGGTCTGAGGGACAGTGAACTGGCCCCGTTTAAAAAGTTTGAGGACCCCTGCTTCAGTGGTTCTCAACCTTCCTAATGCTGCGACCCTTTAATACAGTTCCTCATGTTGTGGTGACCCCAACCATAAAATTATTTTCGTTGCTACTTCATAACTGTAATTTTGCTACTGTTATGAATCATAATGTAAATATCTATTATGCAGGATGTATTTTCATTGTTACAAATTGAACATAATTAAAGCATAGTGATTAATCACAAAAACAACAGGTAATTATATATATATTTTCCGATGGTCTTAGGCGACCCCTGTGAAAGGGTCATTCGACCCCCAAACAGTCGCGACCCACAGGTTGGCGACCCACAGGTTGAGAACCGCTGCTTTAGCGGTTTGGGCAGCTGCATTTGTCAGCCCTATCAGGAACCCTGGAACCGAGCCCTGCTGATGCCATGCGCAGGCCTATGCTAGCTCAGGTGCATTGACGCCGACCGCACAGGCGCGTTGCCTCCGTTCCGGTGATTACGTAGGGGCGGGGCTTGTGGTCGGCGTCACTTCCAACTGCGGCTGGAGGCAGCGCCATTTTGAACGTGCAGCGGTCGCGGGCATTAGGTGGGTGGGAAAGGCCTGCTGGTTGCCGGAGTGGCGACCTCCTCGTCTTCTCTGGCTTTCTCCTTCACAGTACAGTCTCCGTGGGGAGGCACGGAGCCATAGACACATCTCTAAGGTTGCTTCCCGGCCCGAGGTGAAGCCCTCTGATGATGTTAAGGGGAAATCTGAAGCAAGTTCGCATTGAGAAAAACCCGGCCCGCCTGCGTGCTCTCGAATCGGCGACGGGCGAGAGCGAGCCTGCGGCCGCCATGGCCCTCTCACTGGCTGGGGAGCCGGCGCCCCCCGCTTCCGTACCCGCGGAGGAGCGCCCGGAGGAGGAGGTGGGCTTCACCATCGACATCAAGAGCTTCCTCAAGCCGGGCGAGAAGACGTACACGCAGCGCTGCCGCCTCTTTGTGGGCAACCTGCCCACGGACATCACGGAGGAGGACTTCAAGCGGCTCTTCGAGCGCTACGGCGAGCCCAGCGAGGTCTTCATCAACCGCGACCGCGGTTTCGGCTTCATCCGCCTGGTGAGTGTCGGGCGGGCGCGGGCCGTGGTTTTCTTCCCGCCGGCGGGTCGCCCGCGGTTTGAGCCGCCAGCCTCGCTGACGGTTAGCCGAGCCCGGCTGCAGGTTGGTCACTAGTCCCGGGCACCAGGGGGCGGGAACTCGGAGTCCAGGCAGAAGGGGACGAACGCGACAGGCCTTGGGGGGGGGGGAGGCCGTTTCTCACCAGAAGTCTCCTTGGGCCCGAAGGCCCTCCCAGCGAAATTGCTCCCTATAGTTGTACCCACCTCGTTCCTTTGGCTTCCAAAGACCCGCACGCGCGGAGCGGAAAGCCTCGTGTTTCTCACGCCGCCGCCTCCCCAGTCGGCGGAGCCCGCATTGATCTTACACTCCGCAGTATTGGAACGGTGTTGAATTATTGTATCTAATAAAATGTGTCTTCCCCTCCAACACTCGGGAGGTTTCCACGTTTTGGAATTGTATTGTTTTACTTACACATTTTAATACTAGAATACTATATATCTTTACTACTTTTAAGTCTAAACCTTAGGAATTTATCCCATAGTCTGCACAATTTGTGCCTCCCTTGTATTTTTTTAAAAATATATTTTTATTTCAGAGAGGAAGGGAGAGATAGAAACATCAATGATGAGAATCATTGATTGGCAGCCTTCTGCACGACCCCCACCGGAGATGGAGCCCGCAACCCCAGGCTTGTGCCCCGGAGTAATTGAGCCCAGGACCCTTGAGTCCACAGGCCAAAGTGGCTAAGGCTCCCTTGTATTTTTTGAAAAGAATATGATTGGTGAGGATTTACATTAACAGGACATAATATCAGCTACTTGGTTTTTCTATGTGCTTTCTAGTGAATTCCATCAGTGTCAGTTATGCAGCACTGTTGTAATTCATATTTAGATGCTAGATTTTTGCTAATAAAATATCTTTCTTGGATGGAGGCTTTTTTACACAAAGTAATGTTTGCATAAAGAAGTGTGTGTTTACTTTGACTCTCAAATTTTATGTTCATGGTAATTTGTGGAAGCTTTCTTTTGGAACTTTAGCTTTTATTTTATTGAGTTTTTACAGAGAGGAAAGGAGAGAGATAGAGAGTTAGAAACATCGATGAGAGAGAAACATCGACCAGCTGCCTCCTGCATACTCCCCACTGGGGATGTGCCCGCAACCAAGGTACATGCCCTTGACCGGAATCGAACCTGGGACCTTTCAGTCCGCAGGCCGACGCTCTATCCACTGAGCCAAACCGGTTTCGGCTGGAACTTTAGCTTTTAATATTGGGTTCTCTCAGTGAGTGGTCAAGGCAGAATAGAAAATTGTAATTAAATGACAGTACCTTTTAGGGAGGACATTTGAACATCTAAATGGCCTCAAAAATCTTCATAGGGTATTAATGAGACATGGAAGTTTCCTTAAAATTCAAGTTAAATAATGCATTTCAACATAAAATCATAAATGCTCTTAATTATATTTTGGACATTAGAGAAAAAGCTTATCACTTGGTAAATTTGTTTTTAATATATCCAAAGTTTTCTTAAAGGAAGGTAGGAATACTATAATAAAGCATTATAGACAACTTTTAGTAAACTTCCCAAAAGGATGCTGCTTAACATTTTCTTGGTCTTTTCTGAAGTTGACATTCTGGAAGAATGGTAGGGCTGCATTTCCCTCTCTTTTGGAAGTCTTATGCTTACACATAAGCCAATAAACAATTTATTCACTTGGGAAAATATTTTTCCTTCCTATCTTTAAAGCTAATAATCCTTCCTTCTTTAGTGTATTAGTGCTGTGCAATAGAATTTTCTGCAGTGATGGAAATGCTATGTTTCTGTGCTGTCTAACATAATGGCCACCATATGTGATTGTTGACTAATTAAAATGTGGCTATTGTGGCTGAGGAGTTGAATTTTACGTTTTATTCTTTTTTTTTTTTAAATATACTTTATTGATTTTTTACAGAGAGGAAGGGAGAGAGATAGTCAGAAACATCGATGAGAGAGAAACATCGATCAGCCGCCTCCTGCACACCCCCCACTGGGGATGTGCCCGCATCCAAGGTACATGCCCTTTACCGGAATCGAACCTGGGACCCTTCAGTCCGCAGGCTGACGCTCTATCCACCGAGCCAAACCGGCTAGGGCACATTTTATTTATTCTTGAATAGTGGCTACTACATTGGACAGCACAGCTCATTGCTTTTCTTGCTTTAAAAAAAAATCTGTGAGATTATGAAATGGGGAACTAAGAAGGACTGCTATTACCTTGTTCCTTTGGGATATGCTCCTCCAGGCCTATCACCATAAATTTTTATGTAAGCATGTTAAAAATTTGTCAGTTGTAAATTAGAATTTGGCTTACAAAATTTGACTTCATGGATAACTTTACTATTTAATCTGGGCTCTGGGATTAATAGGTAAGTTTTAAAGCTTGAAATATTTCTGAGCTATTATGTATTTATTTCTACTTAGGGAAATCATAGAATGTATGTCTGATTTGAATGTAAGTTATGGTATAGTGGCTATAGTGTATATACAGGGATGGTGTAGTGGCTCTAAAATACTGCTGGTTTTATCTGGTTTGTGTTTTTACAAATACTGTTGTGTGGGGTTTTTTTTTGTAAATACAGTGGGGCCTTGACTTACGAGTTTAATTCGTTCCAAGACCGATCTCGTTAAGGAGCTCGTTAACTCAAATTACTCTATCAACTCAATGCAAAAAATCGGCTGAGAGACAGCTGGTATCTCAAAGAACTTGTTAGTCGGGACACTCGTAAGTCAAGGCCCCACTGTATGTTTTTATTGACTTTTTTTTAAAAGAGAGGAAGGGAGAGAGAGATTGAAACATCCTAAAGAGAAACCTCTATTGGCTGTCTCCTGCACACTCCCAACTGGGGATTGAGCCCTCAACCTTGGCATGTTCCCTGACCTGGAATCCGACAGTGACTTCCTGTTTCATAAGTCAATGCTCAACCACTGAGCGCTGGCTGGGCTATGTTTGTTAATCTTTATCCGAGAATATTTTTTCCCCCAGAGAGTGTGGAAGGAAAGTGGAGAGAATAAGAGAGAAACATGGATGTGAGACACATGGATGTGAGACACATGGATGTGTTTCTCATGTGAGAAACATGGATGTGACTCACATCCATTGGTTGCCTCTTGCACACGCTCCGACTGGGGCCTCAGGTTGAACCCCCAACCTTTTGATTCAAGGGCGTTTACTAACCACTGAAGCACACATGCCGGGCAGCAATTAATTTTTAAAATGCAAATACATTTTCTTAGACTGGTAGTTAGTTGTAGTTTTGCAGTTAATTGATGAGGTCAAACAAAATTTTTTTTAAAAAGAATCTCTTTAAAAAAATTAATTTTAGAAAGAGAAAGAGTGAACATTGATGTGAGAGAGAAACATCTGCTGCTCCTGTACTTGCCCCGACTAAGGATTGAATCCTAATCTGCCAACCTTTGATAGCTGATGCTCCAACCAAGCCACACTGACCAGGGTGAGGTAACATTTTTGAGATGGTATAGCATCAGCATTACTAATATATAATGGTAGGGAAAAGAATTAAAAAAGTTTTTATTCATTGATTTGAGAGAGATAAACATCGGTTTGTTGTTCTGCTTACTTGTGCATTCATTGGTTGCTTCTTGGGTGTGCCCTGACCAGAGATCAGTATCAGGAGGATGCTCTAACCTAGTGAGCTACCTGGCCAGGGCAGGGGAAAGAATTTTTGTGTGTGTGTGTTTTTAATTGCAGTTTTAATTTTATTTATTTTATTTTATTTTATTTTATTTTTTAAATATATTTTATTGATTTTTTACAGAGAGGAAGGGAGAGAGATAGAGAGTCAGAAACATCGATGAGAGAGAAACATCGACCAGCCGCCTCCTGCACATCCCCCACTGGGGATGTGCCCGCAACCCAGGTACATGCCCTTGACCGGAATCGAACCTGGGACCCTTCAGTCCGCAGGCTCTATCCACTGAGCCAAACCGGTTTCGGCTAATTTTATTTTTTAAAAATATATTTTAATTGATTTCAGAGAGGAAGGGAGAAGGAAAGAGATACAAACATCAATGATGAGAGAAACATTGATCTACTGCCTCCTGCACGCCCTACACTGGTGATGAAGCCCACAACTCGGGCATGTGCCCTGAAGGGGAAATCTGTGACCTCTTGGTTCTAGGATGTTCAACCACTGATCTACGCTGGCTGGGCGAAGAGAAAGATTTTAAGTAGCACTTCCTTGTAAGATCCTAGTCCATAGTGTGAGCCCCTACTACATTAGAGATGAAATAGACTGTGTATATTTTGGATACATTTTGTGGGATTTTGGACCCAAAAGCTTAGGTTTTTACTAGTTACTGCAAATTTAGATTGGATAAATTAACTCAAAAGTTGTAGTGCATTTTAAAGCTAGTTTAATGTAGTTAAAGGTCTTTATTACTTTCACCTGAACTCCGTTTTGGCTTTTTTTTTTTTAACCCCTGCCCCTACTTTTAGCTTTAGTAAACCAGATTTCTGGAGCAGTATTTCACAAAAGTGTGGTCCCTGTCCAACAGCTCCCATTCTCTTTGTAGTGTAAGATGAAGGCCACTTATTTTCCCCTACCATTCATGCTAGCAATGCTGACCTTATACCATCTCGAAAATTGTCTCACCTCAACAGTCAGTTAACTGGGTATTTGTTAGAAATAGAAATGCAAATTCTAAGGCTCCTTTATAGATCTAAGTCAGAAATTTAGGGTTTGGGGTCCAACAATCATGGGTGGTGATCTTTTTTTTTTTTCTTAAACAATATGTTTTGTTTGTTTGTTTGTTTGTTTGTTTGTTTTGAGAGAGGGAGAAAGGGAGATGGAGAGAGAGAAACATCCATCAGCTGCCTTCTGCATGGCCCCTACTGGGGATTGAACCCTGACCAGGAATTGAACCTGCCACTTCTCAGGGAATGGGACTATACTCAACTGAGCCACACCAGCCCAGGGCATCCTCACCAGAGGGATATGTTTG